CGTGCGCCTCCTCCGCCGGCGCCCCTCCGCCCGGCCGAAGCCCGCCGGAGCGCCCCTGCCGCGCCGCCCCCGGCCGGTCCGCGCCTGCCAGATGCGCCGCCGCCGCCGCGGGATCTGGTCACCGCAGGCCAGATCCGCGCCTCCACCGCGTCCCCGCGCCGTCCCCTCGCCTCCTCCGCGGATCCCACGTCCCCGCGCCCCCTCGTCGTCGCCGGAGCACCGCCGTAGCTCGCCGGAGTTCCTCTCCGGTTGGATCCAGAGAGGATGGACCAGATCCACCAGTCCCCGATCCAAACGCCCGTGCCCCGTCCCGGATCTCGTCGTCCCGTTTTCGTCGGTATAAAATTCCACCAAGTCCGGAAATATTTTGACATTATCATGCCATGTTCATCGCATCATATCTCCATGCCTACTACTCCGTTTTGTGCGTGCAATATGTCAAATTTTTTGCCTCAACAAGTACTTCATTTCATTCCATTGCATCATGTTCATTTGAGCTCATCTTGATGCCTGAATCATCATTGCAAGAGTGCTATATGATGTTGTCTGCTGTCTGTTAACAGAACATGCTCTTTTGTCATTTTTGCCATGTTTGATGTGTGCATCTTATGAGGTTGATGTCTACATGCGTTTTGAACTATAACATGCCATATTTACATAGGTGCTTACCATGTATTTTTTTGATCAATGTGGTGACTAGCACAAGCATGCAAATTAGGCCTCATGATGTTTTGTGATTTTAGTCCCTGTTCTGCTGTTATTTTGATGCCATGTAAACTTGATGCTACAGAGAGATCTAAGCATATTTTGAGATACTTCAGTAAGGATGTTTTGAACATATGGTTATTCTATATCTATTCATGCCCCTGTTTGCAATTATGGAGTAGTCTAGCATGTCATTTTCATGCTCTACTTTTGCTACAAAATGTTTCCTGGCAGATTGTTTACATATTCAATTTTGCCAAGGTTGTTGTAGTTGATCCTTGCATGCTATGAACTTGTTCTTGCCTTGGTTTGTTTCATAAACATGTCTTATTGATGATGCTATGCTTATCTTGTCATCAATGACTTGTGGTGAGTGAATCAAGCTTGTTAAGTAGGGTACTTGCTGTTACTGTTTTGCTAGGCTGAATCTGTTATTTCGTGATGCTATGTAAACCTGCTGCTACAAGTCATTCTATGCATAATCTGGAGATGTTCACTAAGGGTCTTTTGTTATACATGTCATGCTATATCCATCCATGTCCCTGGTTGCATTTATGGCTTGCTGTAGATTGTTGTAATCTTGCTCCAAATTTGCTAAATAATGTTGTTGTCAGCCTGTTAACATTAAGTTCAGTTGTTGACATGATTGTTGTTAGTGATCCATGCATCCTATGGACTTGCTCTTGCCATGCTTAGCTTCATAAACATGTCTTCTTACTGTTGGTTGCCTTGCCATGCCATGTATTGCTCTGTGGTGATCTGTACAAGCTCACCAACATGCCTACTTATCGTTGTTCCTGCCATGTTTGCATCTGTCATATAACTCGCTATGTTTACATGGGTGCCATCATATCTTCTGATCCTTTTTGTCCCTTGGTCAGTAAGGGACTTTTGTTCTATGCATTTAGTAGATTCATGCCGTGCCTTTGTTTGCCATGATAAGTTCTTGTAACATTTTGTTTGATAGCTCTAAGCATTGCAACCTGATGTTATTTTCTGCAAAGTCTGAAACTATTATTATTTGCAATCTTTCCATGTGTGTTTGAGCATGTTCTAGTGATTTCTGGAGATAGCTCAGTGTTCATGTTTTATTATGCTTTACCTGTACATCATGCCCATGTCTTTTGTTATTATGTTGGGGTGCTGTAACATGTTGTTTTGGTGCTTGCAATATGCCTAGTTGCTGTTTTGGACAAATTGTTGCTATAACTTGTTTCATGTGTGTGTGTTGAACCGTTGCTCCGTTTTGGGTGTGCTCTATATGAAACTTGCTTGATTTTACATATAGTTTCATATTATCATGTTGCATCCATGTTTTGAGGTGCTTTCTTGTTGTTTGTATGCATTTTGCATCAATGCCATGTTTAACTTGTGTTGCTCATATCTTCTAGGCCGTAGCTCTAAATCTAATGAACTTTATATGTAACTTGACTAGAATCTCGTGTAGATCATCTTGGTGCATCTTAACTTGATGTTTAACAACTTAAACATAAGGTTTATTCATATCTAGACCAACTTCGAAATTTGCAAATGAGGACTTACCGGAATTGTTATATGTTGTTCCTGGCCTCATTTAAACTTGCCTTGATGTGTTGCTCTTGTTTGCATCATCTCTTGCCTTGAGTAGCTTCATGTAGTCTTGTTTTGCATCATACTTGGTTGAGCATCATGCCTTGTTCATGTGTGGTGTGTTCACTATGTTGTGTGCTTCTTCTCGATAGTTCCTGTTTCGTTGCGGTCGTGACGATTCGTTCGTCTACGCTTGGTTTGGCTTCATCCGTTCGTCTTCTTCATGGACTCGTTCTTCTTCCTTGCGGGATTTTAGGCAAGATGACCGCTACCCTGGATCTCACTACTATCATTGCTATGCTAGTTGCTTCGTTCTATCGCTTTGCTGCGCTACCTATCGCCTGTTTATCAAGCCTCCCAAATTGCCATGAACCTCTAACCTTTGACACCCTTCCTAGCAAACCATTGCTCGGCTATGTTACCGTTTTGCTCAGCCCCTCTTATAGCATTGCTAGTTGCAGGTGAAGTTGAAGATTGGTCCATGGTGGACAGGATTATGTTGGGATATCACAATATCTCTTATTTAATTAATGCATCTATATATTTGGTAAAGGGTGGAAGGCTCGGCCTTATGCCTGGTGTTTTGTTCCACTCTTGTCGCTCTAGTTTCCGCCATACCGGTGTTATGTTCCCGGATTCTGCATTCCTAACGCGGTTGGGTGATTTATGGACCCCCTTGACAGTTCGCTTTGAATAAAACTCCTCCAGCAAGGCCCAACATTGGTTTTACCATTTGCCTCACCTCCACCTACATTTCCCTTGGGAGTAATTAACCCAAGGATCATCTTTATTATAGCCCCCCCAGGCCAGTGCTTGTCTAAGTGTTGGTCCGAACTAGAGCCCTTTGCAGCGTCCCCTCGGGGAAACTTGAGGTCTGGTTTTAGTTGTACGGATTGCTCATCCGGTGTTGCCCTGAGAACGAGATATGTGCAGCTCCTATCGGGATTGTCGGCGCATCGGGCGGCTTTGCTGGTCTTGTTTTACCATTGTCGAAATGTCTTGTAAACCGGGATTCCGAGTCTGATCGGGTCTTCCTAGGAGAAGGTATATCCTTCGTTGATCGCGAGAGCTTGTCATGGGCTAAGTTGGGACACCCCTGCAGGGTATAATCTTTCAGAAGCCGTGCCTGCGGTTATAGGCAGATGGGAATTTGTTAATGTTCGGTTGTAGATAACTTGACACCAGATCCGAATTAAAATGCATCAACCACGTGTGTAGCCGTCATGGTCTCTTTTCGGCGGAGTCCGGGAAGTGAACACGGTTTCTGGGTTATGATTGACATAAGTAGGAGTTCAGGATCACTTCTTGATCATTGCTAGCTTCACGACCGTTCCGCTTGCTCTCTTCTCGCTCTTATTTGCGTATGTTAGCCACCATATATGCTTAGTCGCTGCTGCAGCCTCACCACTTTACCCCTTCCTTTCCCATTAAGCTTTGCTAGTCTTGATACCCATGGTAATGGGATTGCTGAGTCCTCGTGGCTCATAGATTACTACAACAACAGTTGCAGGTACAGGTTATGCGATGATCATGACGCGAGAGCGATGCTTGCTTGTTTGGAGTTCTTCTTCTTCTTCTTCGATCAGGGGATAGGTTCCAGGTCGGCAGCCTGGGCTAGTAGGGTGGATGTCGTTCGAGTTTTTATTTGTGTTTCATCCGTAGTCGGATGATGCTCTTATGTATTGTGATGATGTATTCGTGTGGCATTGTATGCCTTATGTATGTATCCCCATCTATTATGTAATGTTGATGTAATGATATCCACCTTGCAAAAGTGTTTCAATATGCGGGTCTATGTTTGGTGGGACCTTCGAGTTCCTTTTGGATAGGGTCGCATATTGGGCGTGACATTGGCAATCGAACCTGGGAGGACACCGGTGAGGAGATTACTGCTGGCATCGAAGGACTGCAGCATGAGGCAGCAATCGATCTCCGGAGGGACGGTGCCGGAGAAGCGGTTGTTGAAGAGGTAGAGGCCGTGGAGGTCGGGGAGGAAGCCGAGCGAGCTCGGGAAGGCCCCGACGATGGCGTTGTCGTGGAGGCTGAGGCGGCGGAGCCGGGTGAGCTGGCCGAGCCACGGCGCGGAGAGGGTGCCTGCCAGCCCGTGCCATGGGAGCGTGATGGTGGCGACGTTGCCGTTGACGCACTTGATCCCCGTCCACGCGCCCGAGCAGGCGCCGCCGAGGTCGGTGGCTTTCCAGGAGTGGAGGAAGCCGCGGGGGTCGGAGAGGTCCCCCTTCATGACCTGTGCAGGCCCTGCCGGTCCACCTCGCTAATGACGACGCCGTCCCCGGCGGGATGGTGGTCGTGGGCGGCAGCGGCCGGCGACGGGAAGAGGACCAGGGTGCGACCATGTGTGCGCTCGGTCTGACCATGTCATGCTGTTTTGCAAAAAAGCCCTTAGATGGACTAGTATTCACCGAAGGAACGACCAGGTGGCGGTCAAAGCTAGTTGGCGGTCGCTGACTCGGCCAAGTCAGCAAATACGTACACAAAATCGTATACATGGACCAAAGTGAACCCCTAGCGCAAGTACTTGGACCGTAGTTCGTGTATTTTGAAGTAGTGGTACTAATGTGTCATCTGGCTCAAGTTTGGTGACCTAGAGTGAATTTTTCTCTTAACAGAAACAACAGGAATGCCCACAATAGGTCTATGTTTATCTTTAGTATTGGGTTTAGCATTCCTGGCAGCTTCATCACAGAAATATATAACATGCCCATCAATATTATAAACCAAGAGTTCTTTAACCATAGAAATAGTAGGTTCAACTTTAATTTGTTCAGGGGGTGTAGGTGTTCTAGTATAACTCTTATGAACCACAGTTGAAGCTTTAGCATGATCCTTTATTCTAACAGGAAAAGATGGTTTCTCAATATAAGTAGTAGGAACAATAGGATCAACATTATAAGTAATATTTTCTTCTTCAACTTTAATAGGTTCTACTACTTTCACTTCAATGGGAGGATGATATTTAAACCACTTGTCCTTAGGGAGATCAACATGAGTAGAAAATGATTCACAGAAAGAAGATAATATCTAAGAGTGAAGTCCATATTTAGTGCTAAAATCACGAAAGTCATATGTATCCATAAAAGATTTAATACAATCAAACTTAAGGTTTATACCTGACTCCTTACCTTCCTGAGTTCCCAATCTTCAAAGTTGCATTTAATTCTTTCCAATAAGTCCCATTTGAATTTAATAGTCTTCATCATAAAAGAACCAGTATAAGAAGTATCGAGCATGGATCGATCATTATGAGAAATCCGAGCATATAATTTTTGAATAATAATTTCTCTTGAGAGCTCATGATTGGGGCATGAATATAACATTAACTTCAGCCTCCCCCAAGATTGAGCGATACTTTCTCCTTCACGAGGCCAAAAATTATATATATATAATTCTGATCATAATGAACCAGATGCATAGGATAAAACTTCTGATGAATTCCAATTTCAATCGGTTATAGTTCCATGATCTAGTATCATCACATAGCCTATACAATGTCAATGCCTTTCCCTTCAAAGATAAAGGGAAGACCTTCTTCTTGAAAACGTCCTCGGGCATACCTACAAGCTTAAATAATCCACAAACTTCATCCACATATACTAGGTGCATATCAGGATGTAATGCTCCATCTCCTGCATAAGGATTAGCTAGCGGTTTCCCTATCATACCTGAAGGAATTTCATAGTAAATATTTTCAGTATGTGCAACAGGTTGAGTGGCAACTCTTTGCTCTTCTGGTTGAGATGAAGATACCCCGAACAAGCCCCTCAAAGGATTATTTTCCATAGTAACAAGTGACAGTAAATTTCAGCACACTATGTAAATGTTTCCTTACCAAATTCCACTAACCAAAGGTGCTTCACTCCCGGAAACGGCGCTAGAAAAGAGTCCTGATGACCCACAAGTATAGGGGATCTATCTAGTCCTTTCGATAAGTAAGAGTGTCGAACCCAATGAGGAGAAGAAGGAAATGACAAGTGGTTTTCAGCAAGGTTTTCTCTGCAAGCACTGAAAATATCGGAAACAGGTAGTTTTGTGATAAGATAATTCGTAACAGGTAACAAGTAACAAAAGTAAACAAGGTGCAACAAGATGGCCCAATCCTTTTTGTAGCAAATGACAAGCCTGGACGAACTCTTATATAAAGCAAAGCGCTCCGAGGACACATGGGAATTACTGTCAAGCTAGTTTTCATCATGCTCATATGATTCGTGTTCTTTACTTTGATAATTTGATATGTGGGTGGACCTGTGCTTGGGCGCTGCCCTTCCTTGGACAAGCCTCCAACTTATGATTAACCCCTCTCGCAAGCATCTGCAACTACGAAAGAAGAATTAAGGTAAACCTAACCATAGCATGAATCATATGGATCCAAATTAGCCCCTTACGAAGCAATGCATAAACTATGGTTTAAGATTCTGTCACTCTAGCAACCCATCATCTACTTATTACTTCCCAATGCCTTCCCCTAGGCCCAAATCATGGTGAAGTGTCATCTAGTTGACGTTCACATAACACCACTAGAGGATAGACAACATACATCTCATCAAAATATCGAACGAATACCAAATTCACATGATTACTTATAACAAGACTTCTCCCATGTCCTCAGGAACAAATGTAACTACCCACAAAGCATATTCATGTTCATAATCAGAGGAGTATTAATCATCATTAAGAATCTGAACATATGATCTTCCGCCGAATAAACCAACTAGCATCAACTACAAGGAGTAATCAACACTACTAGCAACCCACGGGTACCAATTTGAGGTTTTGAGACAGAGATCGGATACAAGAGACGACCTAGGGTTTGAGAGGAGATGGTGCTGGTGAAGATGTTGGTGGAGATTGACTCCCTCTCGATGAGAGGATCAATGGTGATGACCATGGCGATGATTTACCCCTCCCGGAGGGATGTTTCCCTGGTAGAACAGCTCCGCCGAGCCCTAGATTGGTTCTGCCCAGGTTCTGCCTCGAGATGGCGGCGCTTCGTCGCAAAAGCTTCCTTCTTATTTTATTTCTAGGTCAGAACACACCATATAGTAGAAGATGGGCATCGTGGGCCTGCTAGGGGGCCCACAACGACGGAGGGCGCGCCCTCCACCCTTGTGGATCACAGGTGGCCCCCCTCTGGTGCTTTCTTCGCCCAATATTTGTTATTTATTGCAAAAAGATTCTCCGTGAAGTTTCAGGACTTTTGGAGTTGTGTAGAAGAGGTCTCTAATATTTGCTCCTTTTCCAGTCTAGAATTCCAGCTGCCTGCATTCTCCCTATTCATGTAAACCTTATAAAATAAGAGAGAATAGGCATATGTATTGTGATATAACGTGTAATAACAGCCCATAATGCAATAAATATCAATATAAAAGCATGATGCAAAATGGACGTATCACTTGCCGGCAGGCACACCAAAGACGCATCTGGCCGGGTTAAGCATCATTTTTTAGATCCGGATATTTTCAAAGGTCTCTTTCAGATCATCCAACAGAGTCTCCTTCTTCCTAGACTTCACAACAGTATCATCCACATAAGCATGAACATTACGTCCAATCTGATTATGAAAACAGTTCTTGACACAACGCTAATAAGTCGCCTAGGCACTCTTGAGCCCAAAAGGCATAGACACATAGAAGAAAGCTCGAAACGGTGTGATAAAAGTCGTCTTCTCTTAGTCTTTGACTGCCATCTTGATCTGATGATAACCAAAATATGCATCCAGGAAACACAAATGCTCACAACCTGCCTTGGCATCTATGAGCGGATCGATATGGGGAAGTGCAAATAGATCAGTTGGACAAGCTTTGTTGAGGTCTGTATAATCCACACACATACGCCAAGTGCCATTTTTCTTAAGTACCAGCACCGGATTAGCCAACCACTCAGGGTGAAAAACTTCAATAATGAACCCGACCACCAAGAGCCGGGCCACCTCTTCAACAATGGCCTTACGTCTCTCTTCATTAAAACGACGAAGGAATTGCTTGACCGACTTAAATTTAGGATAAATATTGAGAGTGTGCTCAATGAGTTCTCTTGGAACACCTGGCATGTCTGAAGGCTTCCATGCAAAGATGTCCCGGTTCTCACGGATGAACTTGATGATCGCGCTTTCCTATTTTGGGTCCATCTTAGCACTGATAATGAACTATTGAGCTGAGTCGCCAGTGACAAAGTCAACATGTTTGGTATCATCTACCGATTTAAACTTCAACAAAGGGTCTTGCTCTATGGTTGGCTTCTTCAATGGAATCATGTCAGTCGAGTCAACATTATCCTTATAAAACTTAAGTTCCTTCGTAGCACAAGAAGACTCAGCGTAAGCTGCATCACCTTGATCCCATTCCAAAGCAATCTTTCTATTACCATGAACCATAATGGTACCTTTATGTCCTGGCATCTTAAGCTGTAGATACACATAACAAGGCCGTGGCATAGATTTGGCATAAGCCGACCGTCCAAATAAAGCATGATAAGGGCTCTTAATTTTGACCACCTCAAACTACAACGTCTCTGCCCTATAATCATGGTCATCACCAAAAGCCATCTCCAAGGCAATCTTACCAACTGGGTATGCCAATTTACCATGTACCACACTATGAAAGACTGTAGAAGATGACTTAAGATGTTTGTCAGTTAAATCCATATGGTGAAAAGTATGATAATAAAGGATATCGATGCTGCTGCATCCATCCATGAGCACTTTAGTAAACTTATAGCCCCCAACTTGAGGGGCTACCACTAACGCCAGCTAACCTGGATTGTCAACCCGAGGCGAGTGATCCTTGTCGGCGTTCTAGATAAGGGGGTACCCAGACTTGCCTGCCTGCGGCCCATGACGTGGCTCCATCAATGGCCTGGTACGGCCCAGCTTTAGCATCAACAACTCAAGACCCTCGCGAGGGGCCAAGCCTCGCGAGGCGGGCAACACCAAGACCTCCAAGGGGATCGGCCTCCTCAGGCTGGCTCCCAAGGAGCGGAGATTCTATGCAAGCTGCATCTCACGAGGATCGGCTGACGTGAGCTATGACGACCAAGACCAGGCGGGTGCCCGCGGGCGCAGAGTACCAGTTGCCTCTTCAGTGCAAAGGAGGCAAGCAGCGGGCGCAGAGTCCTGAGGAATCAACCAAAGGTATCCATTCTGGTGCAACAAGACCAAGACCGCCAGGATGGCAGGACGAAGGTCGTCACCGAGCCCGCCGGAGCATGACGACCATAGGCTTTTTGCAC